CAGGGTTGGTTGTAAACGGTCGTTATTCCGGATTGGCTCCGTTAGGGCTGACTAAGAAATCACCTGCAACTGTTTTTGAGGCAACTCAAGAACAAAATGCAAATGGTCGTTACTCCGGATTGGCTCCGTTAGGGTTGACTATGAAATCACCTGCAACTCCATCCATCCTCATCTCTTTCCCACTCGCATCCGTCATTCTCATTGTATCTCACCGCCTCCCTCTGCACTGCTTTCTCCATCCCCCTTCGCCCCCCCGCCTCCGCCACCCCCCCTTCCGTTTTGTGCTTGCTTCTTGTGTGGCTGTTTCTGTGCCCCCATCTTGCCTGCCCCGCTGCGCCCATCTTGTGTGTGTGCGGCTCTTGTCATGCAGAAATCGCGGATTCAGATCTGGCTGTATCAGCAGAAGGACACGCGCATCGAGGGCAGAATTATTGTAAGTACTATACACATTCTGAACATCCGTTCTGCGAGTTCCTTTGCACACTCAGACTCCTCTATTATCTGTCACCATATTCATCGTAATTTTGCATATGTGCTCTTATCACACTGTCTCGCACCTACCATCCGTATCCCTTCCTAGTTCACATTCCCCATCCGTTCACTTCTCTCGTGTGGCCCATGCCTTGCCCTCTCTCATGCCTTGCCCTCTCTCATGCCTTGCCCATTCTCGTGCTTCCTCAAAACATTTTTTTTTCATGTAGTTCAATGTGTCGTCATCACTGTTAGGGCTTCGATGAGTACACGAATCTGGTGCTTGAAGGTGCAGAGGAGGGGCTCTCTCTCATGGTTAGACATGAGCAAAAATTCGAACCCCTGTTCGGTTCGACTTGAACGTGTTCGAATTGTTTTTTTGCCCAAAATAGTTCGTGACGAACACCAAAGTGTTCGTGTGCAGAAAAAATCACGAACACCTAGGTGTTCGCGAACACAATGTGTTCGTCGCAAACACCTAGGTGTTCGTGCATTTTTATGCACGTCAAAGTTTGACGCGCTGGTTGGATCTAAAAGGGGAGGGCGACGATTTAGCTCAAGAATGAGCTCAATCGTCGATATAGCCTAAGGATGGCATTCCGCCCCCTACCCACTTAAACTAACACATTCCCACGATTAAAATTCCACTTTGTGGCTGGAAACGTTAGGTATAAGGTTGGATTAGAGTAGGAGACAGTTAAAAAAAGGAACTAAGGGCATTACGATTTAGGTTGGAGTTTAGCAAGGCAAAATTGGATATCCACCAGATCTGCATCAAGCCTAACTATATCACTTGTAGGGCTATAGGGAACGTGACATTGCTTCTAGTACACTCGCCCTGCCTGAATGTGACTATACTGAAAGAACCCCCCAAGGCAAACTGTTCGAGTTCGGGTCAAACACCTTAGTGTTCGGCCTTACCTCAAAACTGTTCGACCCTATACTCGAACGGGGAACACTAACATTTAGGAAAACTGTTCGAGACAAACGTGTTCGGTTCGCTCGTTGCTCATGTCTACTCATGGTGGCCCCTCACTCTCCTCTCCCTCCATCTCCCCATCACATATCGTCCGTTCCTCTCAGGAAGGGCCTCGACGAGCACATGAATCTGGTGCTGGAAGGTGCAGAGGAGGGCCTCTCTGTATGTGCCCCTTCATCCCTCTCCTTCCCCTCCGTGCTCCAATCCACCTCCCTCTCAGGGCTTTGACGACGAGTACATGAATCTGGTGCTGGAGGATGCAGAGGAGGAGAGCTCCGTTGTGTAGCCTCTCACCCTCCCTCCCTCCCTCCCTCCCTCCCTCCCTCCCTCCCTCCCTCCCTCCCTCCCTCCCTCCCTCCCTCCCTCCCTCCCTCCCTCCCTCCCTCCCTCCCTCCCTCCCTCCCTCCCTCCCTCCCTTCTTATCCGCTCTCCTCTGCCTTGGCCCCTCTCAGGGCTTCGACGAGTACATGAATCTGGTGCTGGAGGATGCAGAGGAGGTTTCCATGAAGAAGAGAGGCTCATGTGCCCTCCCATCCCTCACACTCTTTCGCTCGCTCCCTCCATCTCCCCACCCTCTCAGGGATTTGACGAGTACATGAATCTGGTGCTGGAGGATGCAGAGGAGGTTTCCATGAAGAAGCAGACCAGGAAGCCACTCGGTATGTTCCTCTCCACTCCACTCCACCGCACTGCACTCCACTCCACCGCACCCCGCTCTAATCCCCTTGCCTTACTGCAACTCGTACCTCTCTGATCTCATCGGTGTATGCCGCATGTGGTGTGGATCCTGCTGGCATCATTGCTTCCCAGCTCTTTTGATGAATTACTGAGGCGCCTCAAAAAAACTTATCGTCCTTTGAGGCGCCTCAAGAAAACTTATCGTCCTCGCCCCTTTTTCCACCTTCCGCTCTTCCCACTTTCCCTTATTGGCTATGCTCTCCTGCATCCCCTCCCCCTCTGCTCCTCCCCTCCCATTTCCTTTCCCCAGGTCGCATATTACTGCGAGGAGACAACATTACCCTTATGATGAACACGTGAGTGGCTTGCCACCTGTCCCATGTCAGTCCATTCCATTCCATCTCATCCATCTCATGCCATTCCGTCCCATTCCATTCCGTTCTGTTTCATGCCATTCCGTTTCATCCCATCACACCCCATCCCAATCCATTCCATTCCACTATAATCCATCCCATTTCATCCCATCCCATTCCATCCCATCCCATCCCATTCCCATCCCCATCCCCATCCCATCCCATCACATCCCATCCCATCCCATCCCATCCCATCCAATCCCATCGCATCCCATTCCATCCCATCTCCATCCCCATCCCATCCCCATCCCCATCCCATCCCATCCCATCACATAGCATCCCATCCCATCCCATCCCATCCCATCCCATCCCATCCCATCCCATCCCATCCCATCCCATCCCATCCCATCCCATCCCCATCCCATCCCATCCCATCCCATCCCATCCCATCCCATCCCATCCCATCCCATCCCATCCCAGCCCATCCCATCCCATCCCATCCCATCCCATCCCATCCCATCCCATCCCATCCCATCCCATCCCATCCCGTCGCATCCCATCCCATCCCATCCCATCCCATCCCATCCCATCCCATCCCATCCCATCCCATCCCATCCCATCCCATCCCATCCCATCCCATCCCATCCCATCCCATCGCATCCCATCCCCTCCCCTCCCATCCCATCGCATCCCATCCCATCCCATCCTTAGTTGGTAATTTGCGTTTACGTTTACGTACGTACGTGTACGGGTACGTACCTTTACGCGGCTGTTCGGTTGGAGGCCTAATGTACGGGCAGGTGAAAAAAAATTATGGGCTGCCCGAATATGCATATTTTTTCTTTAGTACTCCCTCGTAATCATGATTTCCATCATATAGTGTAAACATTCCATTACAACCTCGTAATTTCCCAAATAACAAAAATACCATCATGCGAATTGGTTTGACTCGAAGTTGGGATTCGCCAAAACCAGTGAAGGTCGGCGGTGACGAAACTGCCGAGCGGGTGACATTCGCTTACCTTGCAAGCGAAGCAATGGCGATCTGAGTCAAACTGTTCGCAATGTTCTATCGTGAACAGTTTGTACACATTCAGATCTACTCCCACCACAATTTCCTCCCTCCCTCTCTCGACAGACTTAGCTATCGTAGTTCTACCGCCTTAGTCGACATAGTACGTAGGGTAGACGCCACACCATAGCAACCCTAGCTAGCAACCTTCCTGTTTCTTACATTACTACTTTGAAAAACGTTGCGCCGTACTAACACGCTAACAGAGCACAGGTCGTCGAAAGCTTTTTTCTTTTTTAGGTTTTCGGAAACCGTTTTCAAATAATTTTCTAGGGGAACCTTTTTTTTTTACCTGCCCGGCGTACGTACACGTCCGTAGGCGTACGTACACGTAAACGTACATGTACGCGTACGTTACGTGTACGTGGGCTGAAATGGCGTAAATGACCAACTTAGATCCCATCCCACCCATTCCCATCCCATCCCATCCCATCCCATTCCATCGAATTCTATTCCCTCCCATCCCATCCCATTTCATCCCATTTTGTTCTAATCCATCCCACTTCAATCAGTTCCACACAGTAAAAGGTGCTTTCACATTTTAGTCCTCCTTCATCCCCCCACTCCCCCTCCCCCAAAACACCCTTCTCTCCCCCCCACTCGCTGACTGCCAATACATTCCATCTGGTCGTTTTTCTTTCAACCTTGGCATGGCAAGTGATGTGTTATTTTCATAATCTGCATGTTGGGGGTCGCAACACAAGGCCAAAAATACTGAACCCATGACTGTACTTGCAACAACAGGCCAAGATGAAGTATTTGAGCCTGTTCCTTCGCTGATAACAAAGGGCAGATGGTTGCCTCAACCCTGCCTGTGTTTTTGTCCTGCCTTTGACTGCTTTTTTCAACCCATCGTGTCCTATCCAGGGGGAAATAACAAGGGGAAGAATAGCGAGTGCGCCTGGTTGTGCAAGAAGGCTGCTGTGCAACACTTGCGCCTCGTCTTCTTTCTGGCGCCTAAAAAACTGACTGTTGTGCAAGAAGGTTGTTGTGCTACACTTGCTTGGCACCTCGTCGCTTCCCTTCCCTCCCTCCTCGCCTTGCCTTGCTGGGCTGCCACCGGGGGATCCTGTGTGGCTGTTTCCCGTTGATAAGAGGCACGTACGTATGCAGGCACACTCTTGTGATGTGTTGCAGCGATGTACGTACTAGGTAGAAACGCTGTTCATGATTGTTGGGCTGGGAAAGGCCCTAAAATCGTTGTAGGCACTAGACTTGAATGATATATTGCTGTGAAAGTCTGTGAAAGCCAGTATAAGGAGAACATGGGTTGATCAATAAGAAAAAAAAATCAAATATTATATATATACGCACACATAAACGCACTTTACCAAGGAGCCCTAACACATCGCCAAGGCACAAGCATGCGATCCAGTTGGTGCGCTTTCATAAGCTTCCCTTCTACTGTTACAAAGCAGCACACATCCTGACCTCACCTCACACCCTTCTAGGGCAAAAGCACACGATCCAGCTGGTGGGCCTTCACAAACGACCCCTCAAACAGCCTCCTCGTGTCCACCTGCGCCCAGAACAGCGTCGACGCATTCCACGCACTGAATGCCACCTTCGTCCCGGGGTTAAAAATCAGGTTCGGCCGCACGCTGTGCTTCACAAGCACATACTTGTCGCTCGATGACCCGAGTGAGCTGAAAAACAGCAATGGAAAAAGCCCGTTCCTGTCCGGCACTGCTTTCAGCTTCTTTAGGCTGTAGAGGTCGACGAGTATGTGGAAGAGGGCGACTTTTCTCGACATCGAGTGTCTCGAACGGAAGAGGGCTCGGAAGAAGGCCGCGTCGGTGGGCGCGAGGAAGGTGAGTGGGGCGTAGACAAAGTCGGCATCAGCAGTTTTTTCTGGCAGGAGATCGGGGATAGAGGGAGCGGGGATAGAGGGAGCCGGGATAGAGGGAGCGGGGATAAGAGAAAGAGTCAGGGAAAATGACTTTTGAGGCGCCTCAGAATACAGCCGCATCGGTGGGCGCGAGGAAGGTGAGTGGGGTGTAGGCAAAGTCGGCATCAGCGGTTTTTTCTGGAAGAGGAGGGGAGGGGGGGGAAGAGAGTGGCAGGAAAGTCGACTTAATTAGGCTTTGTTTCAAGGAATGTGAATCTGTGAAGGAAATACTCTGGGCTGTTAATCACGCGACCCCTCTCTGCGATGTGAATCACAGCCCCTCGCCCTTCCAAGGTGATGACCTTGGTGGAAATTAGGGTGTTGAGTGGAAATTAGGGTGTTGAGTGGAAATTAGGGTGCTGAGTGGAAATTAGGGTGTTGAGTGGAAATCGGGGTGCTGAGTGGAAATTAGGGTGTTGAGTGGAAATTAGGGTGTTGAGTGGAAATCGGGGTGTTGAGTGGAAATCGGGGTGTTGAGTGGAAATTAGGGTGTTGAGTGGAAATCGGGGTGTTGAGTGGAAATGAGGGTGTTGAGTGGAAATGAGGGTGTTGAGTGGAAATCAGGGTGTTGAGTGGAAATCGGGGTGTTGAGTGGAAATCGGGGTGTTGAGTGGAAATCGGGGTGTTGAGTGGAAATCGGGGTGTTGAGCCGACCCATGACTTGGCTCAAGCGACCCTTGACTCACGGCACGACAGAGCGTCTGAGGTTTCAAGTGATTGGGTGAGCGGGTGGTTTCACCCAATCTCTTATCCACATTGTTTTTGCAATGATGAGGTTGTTGGAGAGAAGTGGAAATTGGACACCTGGCATGCGTTTACACCCTCCCGAACGGTCCATGTATTGATTTATTGACACCCTCTCTCGCTCACCCGGGATCTCTCTGGCTAAGAGGAGGGAGGGATGGGAGAGAAGGGAGAGGGGAGGATGTTGGAGGGGAGAGAGAGAGAGAGAGAGAGAGAGAGAGAGTATGGATGAGAGGTATGGAGAGAGAGGGAGGAAAACGAGGAAAGGCGAGAGGTGGGAGGTCAGCGAAAAGGGAAGCTGAGACCTTAGTAGTAACGTCTCTTTACTCAGCCGGCTGCATGCATAGAAGCACACAAGCGCACAAGACTCGAAAACATGTTTAGACTCTCATACAGGCGGCGCGCTTACCAGCACTGGACAGGAATGTTCGCACTACTTTCCCGAAGATGCTGCAGCCACGCGCGTTGAGCCTCTTAACGAGCGCCTTCAACTCCGCCACGAACTGCGCCTTAGTCGGCGACGGGTTGTCCAAGATTCCCGCGGAGGTTCCCGCGGAGCTCTCCATGAGACTCTTGGCGCGGAGCGCGCTCATCGCGATCGCGTACAGCGACTCGGTGGGCGGGGGAGCTGTCGGGGCAGCATCATCCTGCGCGGAGGCGGCGGCACCCTGCGCGGAGGCGGAACCCTGCGCAGAGGCGGCAAGCGCGGCGCTGGCTGCTGCTGGCAGGCGCGGCGCCAGCAGCAGCAGCAGCAGGGACGCGGAGAGGGCGAGGAGGAGGAGCCGTGGCAGCGGGACGCGGCGGCGAAGGGACATGAAACGCGGCGGTGAGTTTGTCCCCGACCAATATTTTCTAGAGGAAGGGGCGGTCATGATGACGATGGTCGAATAAAAGATGCCGCGTCGACTATGATCGGATTCCTGCCACGTGTCGGGCTGACGACGAGTCGGGCCGCCAAGTCAGCGCGAGAAGGGGCGCGCACTCTGTTTTGGAGGCGCATTACTAGTACTAATAGTGGCTCCGCGGAATAGTAAGACAGACAGCCTCAGCCCTGATCAATGGCGCGGGAAGAGGTGGGGGGGGATGATGAGGAGGAGCGGCGGGAGGGCGGGGTGGAGGAGCCGAGGGGACGGGTGGGCGTATGACATGCCAAATTTCGAAAATTCACAACGCAAAAATCAATTCGAAATCAAAGGATACCACACGAGGTTCCCTAGGAGGATGGCCGAGTGCTGGAGGTTCCCTACTTATCAGGTTACCTCCGAGGGTTGGCGACGTCATCGACAATCGCCAACATCCTCGCGCATGCTTGTAACGTAGGCATCGACCAATCGGGAGCAAGTAAATTCCGCGCAACACTACCCCTGTAAGGATAAGTCGTCCGGTTCAAAGGAAAAAAATGTAGTGGACCGACTTCCTTGCATCACAACCAGACGACTTATCCTTATCCATTGAATCGTTAACCTGGGTGAGGTCCTGCGGAAAAACGTAGTGGAAACAAATCTTTGAGACTCGAAGAGCAGGACCATGACAGGACCCGCGGAAATGTGCAGCAAGAGCGTACCATCCACTCTCGCTTGAGCGCCAGCGCCTGCTGCTTCTTGAGATCCGGCTCCAACTTGTCCGATGAACCACCCTCGCGAACCACCTGCGGGAAAACACATACATGAAATATGAAAAACTCTGCGTTCCCCGTTGAAGCAAATTTGATAACGACCTTAACTTACCCAACCCTCCAACTTAGAATGTTTATCTTCACCGGGAACTGACTCGATGTGAAGAACCCGCGTTCTGCAATTGTCCTCATCAGAAGAAACGAGGTCGTCGGGGCGGATGACGAGCAGGATGCTGCAATGACAAGTACCGCCGAATATATCTCAGCGGACAAGCGAGTCCGCCCGGGGGAGCTCGCTGCCCGCGGACAAAAAAAATAAAACCCATTCGGGCATGCATCCGGTCAGGGAGGCATCAACCCTAAACACAAGGAGGCATGGATTTAGGGTTGATGCCTCCCTCGGATGGCATGCCATCCGATAGGGTTTTAGTTTTTTTCTGCCCGGGGCAGCATGTCGTCAAGTCGTCAATGGGTCGTCAGGCTTGACGACCCGTTTCCGCTGGGATATTTCATCGTCCATACTGCACGCGCAACAGTAAGAAGAACAATGAGCGAAACGAACAGCGCCGGGACACGGAAAAAGGAAAAAAACTGGCGATCCACCCACCTAGTTCACATCGGAAACACGAGTAGAGATTTGCAGAGCAAGTCCTCGTTGATACTGTCCTTCTTTAAGAGCGGTGCAAGGACCTCGTGCGGAAACACAAGAGGACTGTGTTCCAGGGGTGGAGGATGCCTGCCAAGCACATGGCTGTTGAAACCACGAGCGACGGGACAAACGAGTGTCAGAAACCACGAGGGCGCGAAACAAAGGCGCGGAAAAAACACATCAGATTGCACGTACTGGCAAGCGAAATCGAGGCACGGCTCGGAAAATTCAGAGTCCTCTTTGATCAAGATGTCCTTGTTCTCGCCCGCGAGACGAACAGTTGCGCCACCGGCCACGATAACAACATCGTGACCCTTCAGAGCTTCCATGGGATCCACGAGATTCCTGTGTTCGCGAAGCATCTTGCACGCGCAAAAAAGGGTACCCGACACGAACACGCGAGGAAAATCATCAGAGTAGCTACACGCGGAAACATGCTCCACGGAAAAGCAACACGCAGCCAGGGCCACGCGGAAACACGATAGAAATCGCCACGCGCGGAAGCGAAAACGCAGAAAAACAACAAAAGAACACGGGCCCGCGGAAAGATGCGGAAACGGACGAATGTTGGGCATGTAAATGGATGGAGAAAAACCGCACGCGGTAACGAGCGCGAGAAACCAGTAGTGAAAAGGAATCGCGATTTCCGAAACGAGAGTTAATGAAGACGCGCAGCGGAAACCGATGAGGCAGAAGCAAGAACGTAGCAAGTCGGAAATACTTGCCAACGATTCCGCGGCCGACCACCCGCGTGCAACAATCCAGCCGTGCACATTGGTTCTCAAATCAACCGTCATAACGTGAACGCATACCTTCCAACAGCGTCGAAAGCAGAGATGTAGATGAAGGTTTGCACAGAGAGCCGACCGAGAGGGATGGGGAAAGAGTGAAGAAACGCAATGGAAACGCAGAACAAAACACAAGAATGAACCTCGGAGGGCCTCCTATACCTCCTTGGGCCCTCCTGCCCCTTTCCTCGCACGGAGCATCTCATCGCCCGTCGGCCCAGGGGTACGTCGGACGAGTGCCACGCGTCCACCCGATAGCACTCACTCGAGCTGTAACATCGCGCATCCTCTTTCGAACGTTTCGTTTAACGCAGTTGTTTAACCCTGTTATTGTAGAATCGATGCGACGGAAAAGGATAAGTCGTCCGGTTCGATGGAAAAAAATATATAAACATGGCCAATACACCAAATCGGAATCGGTGCACGAAATAACGGGGGAAGTTGTATCTTAACGTAGTTACGAGTGAGTGTCTCGCGGGCTGTTACATGTGTGTGTATCCCGAGTGTTTTTTTCCCGCGTGAAAGGGTATTGTGTGGATATATAATTCAAGGAAACAGCACGGAGAAACCGAAGCACGACATTTGTAAAGAGAGATTCCGACTGGGGGTGTGGCTCGTAGGGTGCCTTTTTCCGGGTCACCCACATTAACGAATCACTCGCGCGCGTGTTCCTTGGTGTGCTCCCGGTGTTTCATAGGGGGCCTGGCGAGGCTGGCCAGGTCTCGGAGGCCCGGGCCGGGCCTCGCAGGCTCGCGAGCCCGGTGGTCCCTGTCCCCGTCACGCGGGGAGAGTGCTGCGTCAGGCGGTCCCCGAGCCAGCTCGGAGACCCGGAGCTGCATCAGCCTGCTTCCCGCCCCCGACAGGCTGGCGAGCTAGGTTCCGGGAGGTCCACTGCAGCACGCGGGGTCTGGCGTGCAAGGAGCTCGGAGCCCGGTAGCGCCACCGAGGCCGCTACCGGGCACTAGGTGACGCTACCTAGTGAAATGTATTGAGGAGGGGACTAACATATGCTTGGTGCCCGAGCACTCGCGTCCGGTCGTGAGAGGTCCCCCTTGTTGGAAACAAGTAAGTTAAACGCTTCTGAAGGATCGAAGTGTTGACATGAAACAGAGCAGACTACAGCGAAGCAACACACGAGTCAACAAAAGCAACCGCTGGAGGTTACGCGAAGGTCAAAGGTCGCTGACCTTTGACTCGACGAAAAGTACAGTGCGACAGCAAGGACACATAACTGACTCGATACTGAGCAGTTACCCGAGTCGTCACTGTATCGAACCGCAACAGCAAAAAACAGTTAAAAGTAGAATCTTTTCATATTCCTTTGTAATCACATAAAAGCTTGTAGCTCTCTGCTATTATCAACTCATCTTGTTCTCACACACCAGTGCAAGGTGGTTCAAGTAAATTTCTATTAAACACTTCCGCAACTACAACATTCCTACTTCAACAAGATCTTAGCCTTGAAAGATCCTAAGGGCTATTTCTCAGCCCAACATGGTATGAGAGTAAACAAGGCAAGATCGATTTCCAAACCTCCTACGACAACACAAGACATGGCAACACAGAAGGAGAGGAGATCCTCCAATGGATCTCTCGGCACTACTCCTACTCCACCTCCAGCCTCTGGCCTACAGACAGAGGGAGGAACAGTAACAAGACCAGCTGTGAAGTTGACTGAAACTCCCGGGAATCAAGCAGCAAGCTTCGACCCAAGTATGATGGAGAAATTCTTCTCCTTCATGTCCTTCTACGAGCAACACTAGCAAGCAGCTCCTGCGCAATCAAACAACAGCGACAACAACAACAGAGCAACACCAATGAGTCTTGACGGTTCATCTTATACGCGCGGAAACCAGCAGCAACCTACCTTTGCTCCGTACGAACCTCAGCGCGGCTCCATCAGCTTCACGCCACACCAACAGCCTTCACCTGGACAAGAAAAGACATTGGACGCGCTTCAGGTTCAATCACAATTTGCACATGTTTTAAAACTGCAGACATCAACACCCTTCGACGGAAAAGACTTTTATACCTGGTCATTCGAATTCGAGCTGATGATGGAGGGCGCGCAAATACTTGGATTCTTCGACGGGTCCCTGCCATACCCAACGCATGGGACACAATATGACAAGCAGCAGTATACGTATCAGTCGCTGATGGCGTACACGATACTTCTTCGAAACATAACGCCAAACGAGCAGCAGAACATTCGATCTTATCGAGGATACGGCAACTCCGCCGAGCTGGCGTACGACCACCTGAAGAGCCTGTATCAAGCAACACACAGTGTTAATCAAAGTCGTCTCATGGCACAGCTGACAACAGTAGAAATGAAACCCGGCGAAAAGGGAATGGCATATATCAGCCGTTGTCGTGGACTGCGCGACAGACTCCTTCGATGCGGAGGATCAATATCCGAAGAAGCCTTCGTAACAGTCATCATCGCTGGCCTCGGTCCTCATTGGCGCTCCACTCGAGCACTCCTTCGAGCTCACGGGAAAATCTATGAAGCAGCACTCTGCGCCGAAATTCACGCTGAACAGCAGGATATGGACCTGCACGAAGAACGACACAAGAAGAAAGCGTAAGCACCAGAATTCGCGTTTCACACTCAACGACGCTACAACAACAACAACAATCGACAAAACAACCGTCAGATTCAACAATACGTCCCACCATTCTGTCACCTCTGCAAGACGTCCGGACATCCTCGCACACACTGCCCGAACCAGCAGCAATCGACGTCGCCACAATGTCAAATTC